AATTTGGGAATTTTGGGTGGAATTTTGGGATTTTTGGGGGTTTCAGACGGATTTTAAGAGAAATTTTGAGGGAAATTTGGGAATTTTGGGGGGAAATTTTGGGATTTTTGGGGGTATTTGGAAATTTTGGGGGAGATTTGGGAATTTTTGAGGGAAATTGGGGGATTTTTGGGTGGAATTTGGGGATTTTTGGGTAGAATTTGGGGATTTTTGAGGGAAATTTGGGGATTTTGGGGGGATTTGGTGATTTTTGGGTGTTTCAGAAAAATTTTAATAGAAATTTTTGGGGGAGAAATTTGGAGATTTTTGGGGGTTTTGGAGGGGATTTTTACGAGAAATTTGGGAATTTTGCGGGAATTTGGGGATTTTTGGGGAAAATTTGGGAATTTGGGGGGATGTTTGGGAATTTTGGGTGGAATTTGGTGATTTTTGGGTGTTTCAGAAAAATTTTAATAGAAATTTTTGGGGGAGAAATTTGGAGATTTTTGGGGGTTTTGGAGGGGATTTTTACGAGAAATTTGGGAATTTTGCGGGAATTTGGGGATTTTTGGGGAAAATTTGGGAATTTGGGGGGATGTTTGGGAATTTTGGGTGGAATTTGGTGATTTTTGGGTGTTTCAGAGGAATTTTAAGAGAAATTTTTGGGGGGGAAACTTGGGAGATTTTCGCGGGTTTCAGACGAATTTTAAGACGAATTTTTGGGGGGAAATTCAGATTTTTGGGTTTTTTTTGGGGGAATTTGGGGGTTTTTTTTTGGGGATTTGGGAATCTGGGGGTTTTTTGGGAATTCTGGGGTACCTGGGGGGCTCGGGGGGCTCCGGGGGAGGCTCCTTGGGGCGCCGGGAGGGGTCGAAGGAGCTCCCGTCCACGTAGGAGTCGCTGATGCCGAAGGCGGCGCGCAGCCGCTCGTTCTTGCGCTCGTTAGCCTCGGCCAGCTGGTGAGTCTCCGTCACCCTAATTAACCATTCATTAATTAATTAGCGGCGCTAAAAATCAGCGCACCCCGAAAAGTAAAATTTCGGCGGGAAAAAAACGCGGTTTTGGCGCCAAAAAAGATGAAGAAACGAGGTTTTGGTGGTTAAAAATCGCGCTTTTTTTTTTAGCTCAAAGCGCCCCAAAAATCGCGTTTTTCTACCCAAAAATCCCAGTTTTCCATCCCAAAATCCCGGTTTTCCGCACAAAAATCCCTTTTGGGCTCCCAAAAATCCTGGTTTTCCTCTCGAGAATCTATTTTTCCCTCCTAAAAATCCGATTTTTTACTCAAATCACCTCAAAAATCCCAATTTTCCCACCCAAAACCTCATTTTCACTCCCAAAATCCCATTTTTCCCCTCTGAAATATTTTTTCTCCCCCAAAAATCTCATTTTCCCACTCAAACTACCCCAAAAACCCCAATTTTCCCCCAAAAATTCCAATTTTCCCTCCCCAAAATCTCCTTTTTTCACTCAAACCACCCCAAAATCCTAATTTTCCCACCCAAAATCCAATTTCCCACACAAAATCCCATTTTCCCACTCAAAATCTCATTTTCCCACTCAAACCACCCCAAAAATCCCAATTTTCCCCCAAAAATCCCATTTTCTTTCCCAAAAATCCCATTTTTTCACTCCAATCACCCCAAAAATCCAATTTTCTCTCCCAAAATCCCATTTTCCCCCCAAAAAAATCTCATTTCCTTTCCCAAAAACCCCATTTTTCTTCCCAAAAATCCCAATTTTCCCTCCCAAAATCCAATTTTCCCTCCCAAAATCCAATTTTCCCTCCCAAAATCCCAACTTTTCTTCCCAAAAATGCCAACTTTCCCTCCCAAAATCCCAATTTTCCCACCCAAAATCCCAACTTTCCCTCCCAAAATCCCATTTTCCCTCCCAAAAATCCCAATTTTCTTCCCAAAAATCCCAATTTTCCCACCCAAAATCCCAATTTTCCCACCCAAAAACCCAATTTTCCCTCCCAAAATCCAATTTTCCTTCCCAAAAATCCCAATTTTCCCACCCAAAAATCCAAATTTTCCCTCCCAAAATCCCAATTTTCCCTCCAAAATCCCATTTTCCTTCCCAAAAATCCAATTTTCCCCCAAAAATCCCGATTTTCCCCCAAAAATCCCAATTTTCCCTCCCAAAATCCCAATTTTCCCACCCAAAATCCCATTCTCCCTCCCAAAATCCCAATTTTCCCTCCCAAAATCCCAATTTTTCTTCCCAAAATCCCAATTTTCATTCCCAAAAATCCCGATTTTCCCCCAAAAATCCCAATTTTCCCTCCAAAATCCCAATTTTC